TGGGCCTCTTCTTCACCAGCTTACCAATGAACTACCCATTCCATTCCCCCAGGGCCAAGACAGTAAAGGATTGAAAAAATGCAAGGTATGCATTTTTAAGAAGTTCCTTCCTTCTAACGTCAGAGTCCACCATCTTGCAGAAAACATGAAGTGAATATATTGGTCCGCTAATGGATCAGGTGTATAAACTGGTTGGCTCAGTAACATTCAAACCTGTCAGACTCACTTTCTTCTTTTAAAAACTGAAGGGATTCCTAAGATCTAATATCTCTTTGTTAAAAAGAAGCAACACGTCCAAAATAGAGTCACTTGTGCTAAGTTTTACCAAGACTTAAGTCTAAACTAACTGCAGTTTCAGCTTCTCCTATGAGTGGAATTTTAAACTAATTAAGCTGGAATTTCGTGATTAGCACTAGCGAGATCATCTGTATAAGACCCTCTGCCCTTCCCCCCATGGGAAGGTGACCTTGCCTGAAACAATCTTTTTTTTTTTCTTTTGCGAATACCATCCTTGTCCCACCCTGTTTCTGCTTATAAAATCCTTTTATTTTGTACAGCTCCTAGGAGCTCCTCTCTACTTGCTAGATGGGCTGTTGCCTGATTCACGAATTGTTGACTAAAGCCAATTAGGCCTTCAGATTTATTCAGTTGAATTTTGTTTTTGAACACCTTTAATTGCTAAGATTCTGTGACGATTTCTCCCCACTGGAAATGGCATTTTACTGTGAAAATTTGAACTTGAAAACAACATTTATCAGAAAGAAAAGACATGTTTTTCACGAATGAGCTATCATTTTCCTGATGTGTGTTCCCCCATGCTTTCTCTGTTTGTAGATAGATTGGGGGAGATGTCAGAAATGGTGTCTGTTCACATTGGAAATGACATCTCAAACAAGGTCATTACCAGAGAATGACAGTAAATAACAGAAAATTGTCTATTTTCCGGGTTTTAGGCACACAAAAGAGGATGAATAAAATAAGTCCATGTTTAGCTACCTATCCAATTGTACCAGTAGCTTTTTTTTTTTTTTAACTGTTAAATCTTATCCTAAAACTAAAACAAGTTTATGGGGTTTTGTTTTGTTTTGTTTTTAAAAAGCAGATTTGATTTTTTTTTCTTTTCAGATACTCAAGTTTAATCAAAGTGCATACAAGGAGTAAAATAGTTAAAAGTCAAACAAAGGAATGGGTAAAAAGAGGGAGGAGAGTTCACTGATGATCTAGAAACAAGGGAAGCACTCTTGGATAATGGGTCAATTGCACGGTGGTGGCCTGAGAGAGAGTGTGCAGGTTTCCATCAGGACATTGTAACTTGCCATAATTATTTGCGGGTGTTAGAGGCTTTTACAGAAGTAAGATTCAAAGATTCCATCGACATAGAGCACATCTTGTCAGAAATCACAGACCTAAAACTGACAGCTGCATTTACATATTTCTCAGATCTACCAAAAACCTGTTAGGGGCTTTATATGCTTTATCTCCTTTAGTTCTTATAGCCTGTTACCTAAGATAGGATTAGTACCTTCATTTCACACAGGAGATAATGAGGTTTAGAGAGTTTATGTCAATTGTTCAAGGTCATACAACTGATAAGTAACACAGGTAGTCCTTGAACCTAGGTCTATCTTGTTGAAAAACTGGTGTTCTTAACCTCCGTGGCATACCATACAGATAACAGTTGGTAGGAGAATGTCTTACTTTATCTTCCCTAAACCTCAGTTGCTATTCCATGGTGGCAGATGTCATGTCCATCTTCCTCCCCTTTGTGTCCCCCTGTGCTCAGTCTAGTGCCCAACACATAACAGGAGCTTGACAAATATTTGTTGAACAGATCAAGGAACTGTGAGATTTGCTGCTAATTAATAATGATCCCTTTTATAGATAAACATATAGCAATTCTTAGGGAGGATCTTAAATTTAGGAAGTTGAAGAGATGGAGGAAAGATTCATTGAGAATTATTTAAATCATGCTCTGAAATGCAAACACTATCATTAATTTAGGTATAGTTATATACCTACAAATATTAAAAGAGAGACTATGAGCTTTGCCAAATACACACACACACACACACACACACACAATGTCTTGATACTTTGTATAGAAAACCAGGAAAGTCCATCTCTATTCTAGTCAATGTTGCTCAGAGTCTGCGGACAACCCTCTGCTGAAGTGAGGGCATTAAAATTCTGTTAAACAGTACAGCCTCTGAAGCTGTGTTGTCTAGGTTTAAGACTTTAAATTTTATTTCATCACTTACCAACTATGTTCAAGTCTTTTGAGACATAGCCATCAAGTCTACAGTAGAGAGGCAGAAACAGTAGTAAGCAAGGTGAAATTTGGGTCATAATGCAGGTGTGACACATGGGAAGGGAAGGGAAGCAAAGAGATAGGGTTGGAGAATCTCAAATTATAGTCTACTTCTAAGGAAATCATCGGCCATGCTGAGGGGAGACTATAAGCCACAGTCATCTGTTATGGGAATCCTGTTTTTGCCATGCTCCCTCATTGTCCAGGAGCAAGCTGGAGGCAAGCTTGGTCTTGGTACAAATGGGGTGGTAGATCTAGAGGGACAGCAGCAGAGTCTGCTCATCAACTATGTTCCTGGCACCAAAGATCTGAGTGGTGTGTTTTCTAGAACACCACATCAACTATAACCCTGGACAAAGCACTAATTTATCTAATTGTCTTCTTGCTAAAACTCTTCAAAAGGGTTGTACATACTCTCTACCTCTGATTTCTGTTCTGTTGTGCAACCCTGAACCATTCACATAAGATGTTTGTTCCTACCACTGAACTCTCCTCAAGGTGACCAGTGACCTTCCCAGTGACCTATCCAATGTCTAGATTCAGTAGATCTGTTAACAGTACTGGATAGTGCTGGCTGGCCACTCCCCCCACCTTGAGATACTCCCTCGACTTGGCTCCCGGGTCTCGGTCTTCTGACCTCAGTGCTCAACCCTTCTCAGCCTCCCTTGATGGTGTGTTCTCATCCCTCTGATCTCTGAAATGCTGACCAACCTAGGACTTGGTCCTCACATCTCTTCTCTACCTACATTGACATTTTAAGTAATCTTATCTAATTTCATGATTTTCGTTGGATTCTAAATTTCATCATATCACACTTCCTATCTAGTACAGGTCTTTTTGCTCAACTCCAAACACTGTTCTGGCCAAAAACTGTAGTGTGTTCCTTGATTCTTCTTTCTCACACCCCGTATGGGATCTATTAGAATTTCTGTCAACTCTGCTTTCGAACACACCTAGAGTCCATCCAGTCCTCATTTTTTCCAGTGTTGCTGTTCTGGGCTAAGCCTCTGTTATTTCTCCTCTGGGTTATTGCAGGAATTTCCTCATGGATCTCCCTACTTCAGCTCTTTCTAGTGTATGGTATATTCTGAAACTTAAGCAACCAAAATGAATTTTTAAGTTACACTATGTCTTCCATCTCTCCATTGCACTCAGCCAACTTCTGATAATGGTCCACAAGACCCCTTGCCATTGAGCTTCTGCTAATCTTCTGTCATGCTTTCACTACTTGCTCTGCTCTGGCAACACTGGTTTGGTCATTCCTTGAGCACCAAGCACCTCCCTGCCACAGGATGTTTGCACTTGCTCTTCCCTTGACCTGGAACATTCTTCTCCCATATATCCACATATCTTACTCCCTCACTTCCTTTGAGCCTTTTTTCAAATGCCACCTGAGTAGTGAGAGCTTCCATAATCCATAATCACTGCCTGTAAAATAGCAACCCTCCCCCTTGGCACTTCCTGACCTTCTCACCCTAACCTCTGTTTCCCTACAGCACATATTACCATTTGGCGTATTATGTATTTACCTACTTATTTACGTAAGTTCTCTCTCTTTTTAATATTCACACTAAAAACCAGACTCCATAAGAGCAGAGACTTCATCTGTTTTATTTATACTGTATTCCCAGTGTTTGACACAGAGCCAAGGAATGATAAAATACACTGTTCTATGTCCTATATTGTGCATGTCAGATTCCAATTTGTGTAAGATGTTGCTTTTGAAAATCAAAGGCCTTATTCTTTACGTAGACATTAATTCAAAGTTTACTCTAATAGAGTCTGTGTCACTTTATTACTAAGGAGAGTTTCTTTATCCATTAAACTCTGAGAGTGTTAGTTATCTGTCAGACTTCTCCCTCTTTGGCCTATGGTACTCTATTCCCATCTGAGTTCTCTGTGTCTTTTTTCCTTGCTTTGTTTTTGCTGCCACCCTGCAGTGGAGGAAAGAGAATTTTAGGAAATACCTATAGTGTTTCTCTCTGTTCTGTGCATATAATAGATTACAGTGAATATTCGCATAATTAATTTGAATTAACTTCAGTTTATACCTTTAAAGATTCTCCTAGGGTATCCCATTTTGGAGTCTATGTAATTGCGTAACCAGTTCATGCCCAGTCTCATTGGTTCACATGTGTGCCATGTTTCTGCCTTCTTTTCCTCTTTAACCCTATTACCTACAAACAAAGAAGTAAAATTGAAAGTAGAGATTTGAGACAACCATAATACTGTCTTCCTCCTTAATCAGAAATTTATGCCAGAACCCCCTCCCCTAATTATTACTATTTTTTTTGCAAATGTGATTGAAGTTTAACATACGTACAGAAAATTAAGAAAATAATGAGTTACAGCTTGACAAAATTTTAGGAAGTGACCATACCCACGTAACCAGCACTTAGATCTAGAAACAAACTTACAAGCTTCCCAGAAGGCCTGTCATGTCCCTCAGGGTCACTAGCCCCAGCAAGGCTCCCCACCTTCCAGACTCCTAATAACAAGGGTTGGTTTTGCCCGTTTTTAAACTATTATATAAAAGGAATGGTACAATATGTACTCTTTTGTGTCTGACTTCCTTTGGTCAGCATTGTATTTGTGATATTTACTCATGCTTTGAGTGTTATGGTTCAGAACCCTTCTCATTTTGTCTGTTTGGGAAGACCCAGACTCTTGCTTTGTTATCCTTAGATCCTCACGTGGGTGACTTTGAACCAGGGAGATGCGTCTTCTCAAATTGACTTTTGTGTTGCTAAGAACCCTCAAGTGGAAAGCAATGAAGCCTTTTTCGATCTGAGTTTCAAGTCTCAGGTACTGCTAACTAACATGGAAAACTGAGAAGCTTCAAGAATGGTGGTCTAGTTTATTGGCCAATAATTAGATGTGCAATCAGTGAAGTCAGGCTCACCAAACTAGTTACTGAATTTTCCAGGAGAGGAGCCAATGCTTTGAGGCTCCTCTGCAACAGCTATGATGAATAAGTTAAAGGTATTCTTTAATTCACAGCATTTTTCCAGCCAGCCTGGGATAGTTCCTGGCCCACCCATACTCCTGGAAAAACCTGCCAGGAGTTTTGTCTAGCTAGGCTAGTTGAGAATGGGAATGCCGTCATTTGGAAGGAGTTGATATTGTGGTATTTGATGGATAAAAGCTAAGCAAAATGTTATTCTAAGAACACTGAGCTCCTTCCAGCTGCATCATTGATTAACTTTGGAGAGATGGCATAATTGCAATGGATCTGGGGCCCTGAGTTCTTGTCCTACTTTTGTCCCTAACTCATTGTGAAAATCTCACTAAAGTATTTGGACCTTAGTTTCCTCCTGAAAAAAAAAAAAAATCAGAATGTAAAACACTGTGGTCTCTGAAGCCTCTGTTATTCCTTGTGTGGCTGCTAATCCCCACTTTTGTGCCTTTCTTGGTCTCACTCCAGCTTCCTGGCTGATAACCTCTGTCCACCAAGCTTGTCTGCAGTCTCTCTTCTACCAAACCTTTCAGAATTAGCCTCCCTCCATGCTGCTCTCTCTCATATTGGAAGCTGTCAGCATCAACGAGTGATGCTGCTTCACCCTTTCTTGATCATATTACTTTGTAACATTGTCCTCCCTCCCACACTTGGAGTTTATCACTGTCCACTCTCAAGGACTTAAGACTCCATCTAGAGACCCTTTTGCAATCATCCGTAGTATCTTATCTCATGTGCTGAACAGAAGGACTCCATGAGGTTTGTATTACTGATCTCCAAATTTTAAAGAACAGATAATGATTCACTCTGTCCTGTCCTGAAATACACTTCTACCCTCTCCACTCCCCAAACCCAAAGGTGGCAATCGTTCAACAATGTGAAATCCTGCTGCTGAGATGACCATGAGCAATGGGCAGAGTGGGTAGTGGAGAAGACAGGGAATGAGGAGCCAGGCAAAAGACAAACCATAATCACCTAGTCTTTAAACAACAACTATTTAACAAATAAGAATAGATCATTACTTCCTTAATCTGATAAAGGCATTTATTTAAAAATTTCAACAACCATTAAAATTAACAACTCAGGAAACAACAGATGTTGGTGAAGATGAGGAGAAAGAAAAACCTCTTACACTGTTGGTAGGAATGCAAGCTGGTGTAGCCACTCTGGAAAACAGTATGGAGGTTCCTCAAAAAGTTGAAAATAGGGCTACCCTATGACCCAGCAATTGCACTACTGGGTATTTACCCCAAAGATACAAATGGACTGATCCAAAGGGGCACCTGCATCCCAATGTTTATAGCAGCAATGTCCATAATACCCAAAATATGGAAAGAGCCCAGATGTCCATCAACAGATGAATGGATAAAGAAGATGTGGTATATATGTGTGTGTGTGTGTGTGTATATATATATATATATATATAATGGAATATACATAATGGAATATTACTCAGCCATCAAAAAGAACGAGATTTTGCCATTTGCAATTATGTGGATGGAACTAGAGGGTATTATGCTAAGTGAAATAAGTCAGTCAAAGGAAAACAAATACCATATGACTTCACTCATATGTGGAATTTAAGAAACAAAACAGGTGAACATAGGGGAAGGGAAGGAAAAATAAAATAAGATGGAAATTGAGAGGGAGGCAAACCATAAGAGACACTGAACTCTAGGAGACAAACTGAGGGTTGATGGAGGGGAGGTGGGTGGGGGGATGGGGTAACTGGGTGATGGGCATTAAGGAGGGCACTTGATGTAATGAGCACTGGGTGTTATATGCAACTCATAAATCACTAAATTCTACCTCTGAAACTAAAAAAAAAAAAAAAGTCCTGCTCTCAGTGAAGGTATCTGATTTCCAATTATTTTGCTTCTATCAAAAAAGGAAAATAAACACTTGTCTTGCTTTATACAAAAAAAATTTCAGCAAACATCCCTAATAGAGAAAAGTAAAGAACATCCCCTTTAAAATCAGGAACATGATAAGAATTTTCAGTATCACCATTTCTAATATTGTTTAGGAGATCCTAGCCAGAGCCATAAGACAAGCAAATATATAAATACACACACACAAAAAAAAACACAAAATAAAGGGAAAAAGAATTGAATAGGAAGGAAAAAACCACCCTTATTCATTGATTATATAATTGTTTACATAGAAAATCTAAAACATGTTACAGGTATGGTATTAGAATTAATAAGAGAATTTAGTAATATAAAATCAATATATAGAAGTCAACTGTATTTCTATACACCAGAAACTAAGGCTTAGAAATTTATGAATGTAAAAATATAGAGCACCTAAAAATCAACCTATGAAATTCATAGCCATCTTTATGGAAAAATCTAAAACATGTTTGATAGATGTTAATGGAAACAAAAGGAGAGATAGATGAAATTCATGTAATAGAAAAAGTTAATATCGTAAAGGTGATAATTCCTGCCAAAGTGACTTATAAATTCAAACAAAATCCAATAAAAAAAAAACTCAGTAAGTTTTTCTATGGAGCCAGATAGGATTATAGGAAAGGCTGGTCCTAAAATATTTAATGAAGAAAATCAGGGCCAAGGACATCCATGAGAATTTGGAGAGAAAAAAGAATCACAGTGGGCACCTACCCTACCTGTTATTCAGGGTTGTTGTAGAACCACAATGATTAAGCCAGTGTAGACTGGCATAGGAATAAGTATGTTGAACCCAACAGGGAGCACAGACACAGATCCATACGAAGACTGAAACTTGATACCTAACAGAGTTGACATTGCAGGATAAGGGGAATGGGAGGTTATTCAATAAATCAGATCACTCTCTGAAACAAGTGTTTGAAGTCCCAGTCTAAGCTCTGTCCTCAGTACCTGTGGGACCACAGGTCCTTTCACTTGGACTCCCCAAATGAGGAGACTTATAGAGCATCAGGGGACAAACACCTGGACAGATGTCATTGGCAGCGTGCACAGGGCCAGTGAGAGCTGCCTGCCCAGAGGCAGGCTATCAGGGGAGACATCATCTACAGAAAATAACAAAACAATAGTGAAACTGACTAAAAATGGAACTGTCTCTTATTAAAGAGTAGGCAATTCTAAAAAAAAAATGTCCCCTATGAAAGTCAGTGTATTCCCTGAAAAGTATTTTTTTCCCTAAGTTCTAAGTAATTCCAACAGTTACTGCTTTGTTTTAATAATAGATATGTAAGCTTCAATACATGTTACCTCATCTTTTTTATGTTTTTATAAACTTTAAATTCTTTTCTAGCCATTATACTGTACTGCACAGTAATATGGAAGTGACTTTGGAGAACTCTCCAGTGTATAGTCAGTGTCCCGCCTTGTGTGGACTCAACAACAGGCATCTGTTTTGAAAGTAAGCTTGTGATGGTTCAGTTTTTGGAACTCCCTTCCAGTGAAGCTTCTGTTGAGCTGCCTATTACTAAACAAACAGTTGTGGCACAGTAATTCTAAAGATGAAGAAGTGGGACCTGAGTTATTATAGTTGTCACTTTATGTGATCACTTCAGCATTTCATTTGTGCTTAAAATTTAAAATAATTAAATAGAGAGCTGTCATTGGCAACCCAACCATCATGGCAATCGTTCTCCTTAAGTCTGGACAAGTCATTCATTTCAACGTGATAGGTGGATGGTTGCTATGAACTGATTGACATTAGTAGGTGAAATGCAAACAAATTGCCATCTTATTTATAGGTTTTTTCCAACCATAAAATCTCATGTTTTTAAAAGAACAGATCAAAAATATTTGTTTGTATTTTATATATAATATTATTTTATGTATTTAATCTGCAAGAAGGAAAGGGTGGATCACATGGTTCTTCAACCTTCTTTCTTCCAATTCTGAAATTTTAATTTCTCTCCATGTAGTACCTAACGATGTTCCTTCCCTAACCCACCAGGATTTGCAAACACAGTCACCTGAGATTTTACATATGCACACTTGGATCGTCTATAAATCTTAGAGTAGCAGAGAGCTCTGTCTGTGAGATCAACAACTGTCACTGTATAATTGGGGCGGGGAGGAAAGTGTGTTTTATGTTTCAAAGCTGGGGGCACTGGTTAAAGAATAGGACAGAGGAGAAAGAGGTTTCCTAGGGGCAGAAATGTAGGAGCTGGTTCATTCATGTCGGTAAGGAAACATGGCCTGTGGCCATAAAGGCCTCCCGTGGTGACTCACACTGCCCTAAAATGAAATTTGTTTATTCTGGGGCTCATTTTATCACTCTAGCCCTGGGGTTATTGAAGCTCCTAAAAGCTTGTAGGTAGTAAGTGGTTTGGGGTGCCAGAAAAAGTAATTGGATTAATGCACTTCTATCTCGGATTAATGCACTTCTATCTCAGATTACTGCCAAATTAGTCTGTGGTATGTGGGCTTTTTATGTTATTCTGAGTGTGGCGTAATACGACCAGCTGCTCTGTGACTTTATTATCCTCCTTACATCAGACCCACCCAGCCAGCCCCATCTCATCTTGTCACACCCCCAGACTGCACCCTTTAAAGTCCCTGCCCGTCCCTCATCCCTTCTTACTTCCTGGCTCCTGCTTTCAACCTTCCACTTCTTCCCAGGCTTCGTGATGCAATTAAATAAAACCAAACCAAAAATCTTTCAATTGTATCAAAGGCTTATCAATTGCAATTGCACTTGGGGGAAATCTATAATTATTCAACCATGACCTGACAGCAGGATATTTCTGCAGCCTCCACGCCGAAGGATGTTAAGAGGAAGAAACATGGCTTAGGACTTCAGATGCCACATGCCACCAACCGAGGAAAAGGAAGGATTTTATGGGCTTCAGTCAGCACACTGTTTTTTGTCAATGATCTACAATTAATTAGAACTGGATCAGAGTTTTGTGGTGTGAAGAGTATTGGCTTTAGAGTCAGATGACCAAGGTTCAAAGCCTTTCTCAGTCACATTCTTGGTGATGCTGGGAACTCTAACATTTGAGGTTGTCTTAACTGCTTCAAAGCCTGTAGTAAAATAAGTAAATATGAAAAAGCTTTATGTGTTAGTAAATGTTATAAAAACATAAGATGGCTTTAAAAATCATTGATTTAGACCCTATTTAGCAATAATTCACAACTAACTGCAATTACTCTATAAAATAGTATTATAATTTTTTAGAATCTTCTAAAATTCAGAATTTTATTAATTCAAAATGGCTTCCTGGCTTTCCCCCTAGGTTAATTCCCATCCATGAAGATGTGTCTGTAGCACATAAAGTTTCTCTTAAAAACTTCCTTTGCTGAGGGCAATGGTCATCTCTTCTCCAATGTTTGGTTTACACGTTGAGTTTCAGAATGGATAAGGTTATGAATTCCTAAAGCAACTACTCCATTGAAATATTTAATTTTTGTCAGATAATCTGCCATTTCCATATTACTCTGTGTATTTAAAAACTAAATGTAGCTAGACTTTCATAGGTGAAAGCAAGCATTGTGAATCCAACTTTGATGTTTTGAGTGCCAATTTTACCTGACCTGGGTTTTGATAAACATATTGATATAGATTTACTGTTCTCTTCTCTTCAGTGGCAATTCTTAGAAGATACTGCTTTGATCTTAACAGCCCATTCAACCAACTTTTCAGGACCTTCAGGTGACTCTTCTGGGACTTTTGGTTATCCTAGGAGATGTTTTTCTCTGTAACTTGATGGATGAAAAGTTCTTTGTAATAACATTTTCTTTGCTTTCATTAGAGACATAGTCCATACTCAGTCTAAAAGCTGGATAAGGGCGCCTGGGTGGCTCAGTTGTTTAAG